GATTTCTGCGCCGCCCGTCTGCCTTCTTCAACGGAACGCCACGGCTGCTAGTCAAGCTCGGCGCAGCTAGGATCCATTTTCCTGTTCTTTGCAGAGATACGCACCCCAACCGTAGACGTACGCATTTCTAGTCACTGACTCTCTGTTGCCTGTAAACTCTGTTGGTTCAGGTTGGGAACTGGTTGGTCGAACTTGGCCCTTTTGTCTGCCCTCTGTTCATCTCAAACCACTCTGAGTAACTTTCTGAACCCTGCCCACTGCAGATTTCGGATCCCTCCAGACAATGCGTGTCTTCGAATGTGCTGGCATACTTCATTGGCCCGGGGAAGTGAGGCGCCCTGCATAACAAGCGAATATGGGGAATGGAAGGGCGATCCCTCTTGATCAGAGATGATGAAGGGAGAGACCGAAGAGGGGATCCTTCCGCGGGTCAGCCGAAAACTTTGACTTGCTCAGCTCCTCTAGGCGGCAGGCTGTCGGATCCGTGTGTCGAGATCTGCCATTTGGTGCTGGTTGGCTAATATAGAGAAAGGTCGTATTTCGCCTTGGTGCTATTAATCCGCACGAAACGAGAAAGTCTTGGGCAGCAAAAAGATTTCGGTACGGAGTATAGAACATTAAAAGATTTCCCGATTCCCATAAGGCTGCGATGGGACCTGTTGCCTCTTCTCCGGATTTCCTCTTCCACTGGTGATCTTAGTCCCAGTCGCTCCGTCCCGACTGCTTGCCGCAAACCTTTAGTCCGAGTTTTTTGCGCGTTCTTGCAACTAATCGACCTTTCCGAAGCGGATCCCGTCAAAGATCTGGCCGGCCGAGATGCCATTTCATCTACTACCTCGAGGCGCGCCGCCGCATCCCGATGTTTTGACGATACCCACACCTCCACTCCAGGAGACTGCAATCATCATCATTTTCTTCTTTCCAGCTCTATCGATCTGCACCTTTGGCCTGCGGGCATACGGTCGGATAAGCACGCGTCAATGGGGACTAGGTATGATGTCAGCATAACTTCGTTGTTGCTTGAAGCTTACAATAGACTATTTATTAGATGACTGGCTATGTGGCTTAGCCTTGGTACGAGCTTCACCCTATACTTCTTCATATAACATACGGGGGTGATTTTGGGTGAAGATGTAGCTAATGGTTAAACAGCTCTTTGCAGTCTTAATGACACCTCCTCTGTTCATGTGTAAGTAGAACTATGTTTAAGAAATGACGACCCAGCCAGCAAGCTGACACTGCCGGAACTCAGTTGTCAAACTGAATTATTTCGGATGGAGAGCTGTAAATGTCCCCAAGGATTTCGATAACAAGGCCGGGCTGTGGTGGAACTTCTTGGTACAGATGGCCTACAATCCAGTGCTCGCTTTGGTCAAAGCATCGGTATTGGTATTTCTACTTCGACTAGGAGGCCAAAAGCGAGGCGTTCGAACCGCTATCATCGGACTCAACATTTTCAACGCATGCCACGCAGTCGCCGTATTCTTTACCGCCTTATTCCAATGCCTACCTATGGAAGCCAACTGGGACTTTTCTCTGCGAGGCCAGCCAGGCACAAAATGCGTCGACAACTCGTTTCACGTCATTGCATCTTGTATCACGATCGTCTCGGACCTTCTGGTACTCGCCTTGCCCTTTTGGATATTTCTCGGGCTCAAAATGCCCTTGGCGGCCAAAATGGCAGTCATTGGGGTTTTCCTTATGGGTCTTGTGTAAGTGATCATCTCAAGTGACAATAACCCTTGGTCAAAGCTGATTGTGTTCGGATTAATAGAGTAACGGTTGTTGCTGTCATCCGAGTCATCCAGATCTACAAGCTATTCTTCGTCCCATCACCTCCAGGAACCGATCACTTCCACAACATTGGCCTTGTGAGCTCTACCGTTGAGGTTAATCTGGCCATTTTCTGTGCCTGTATTCCTGCATTGCGCCCTCTATTCCGCCGATGGATGCCGAAGCTATTCGGCGGCACGACGAAGAAGACGACCGGTAAAGGATACTACGGGAAATACGCGACCGGCTCATTGCGAAATCCAACTGGGGTGCAAGAGAGCAACGATATTACGCTCAAAGAGATGCGCTCAAGAGCGCACTGCACGGAAATACGCAGTGTCTCTCCATCGGGTTCTGAAGAGGAAATCATGACATACAACGGAATCGTCAGAACCACAAACGTCAACGTCCAGTACGAATCCAACACCAGCGTAAACGATTTGGAATCTCGACACTCAAGCGAGTACAAAACGATCGACAAACCAACGAAGGGGACAGCTTTCTGAAGACGATGCTTGAAACTTTAATCGGTGTTATTGGGCGTTGTGGATCGCGGGACATCCCGCCAGGGTTTCAATAATACCACTTTTTGGATCTGCCGGGTGCGAGCAAGGAACCATTTCCTAGTCCGCACCATGCACGGCTGCAGTTCGCTGCCATTTTTTGCACGTTTATACTGAATACCTTGGATACCCTTCTATAATCTCACTTTGTTTTACTGTTGATCTGCTGAGATTCAAGACGCCATCGATGATCGTGTGATCTTGCCTATCAGTGGACCTGAATCTCTCGGCGGTCTACTCCGCAAAAACCTGACTGAATCATAGTGCGTGAGTGCATGATATGAGTTCGTTCTCCCTTGCCAAAGAGGTACGGAGTCCGACTCCATTCCCTCCCGACCACAACTCTAATTCTCGATTTCTCAGTGGTTGTGCCCTTGCCCATCCTGGCTTTTCTTATTAGGTCGAAACTCAACTACATGATGCGGGCTTGGCGTCGGTGCCTTCGAACGCTTAGTGGAGGGATTGGTACAGGGTCTACGCGTTGTCTCCACCCTTTGCGATCCCCTTATGTGCAGTCAGCGATTTTATGAAAACTTACAGAGTGTATTTGGGTAGCACTTAGCCCGCAGGCAGGGCTAGGAGCTACATAGTCCCGGCAGAAGGGTTTCCAACGAAGGTTCGAATAACACTAGAGAAGACGTGATAGAACCAGACTGTCACACACTGGCTGAGATTTGAGGAGTTCTTAGAAAGAGGTCTTCACCTGAATCGTAGTCTCTGGCTAGTCACCTTCCCACAATGGAGCGATTTTCTTCTCGTCAAGAAAGACGCGCTTTCGGCCCCATCCCGCCCAACTCAGAGAAAATGAGGCGATGGAGATTCCGCAAGTGAGACTCCTTCTGGCAGTGATTGACATGGACATGGGCAGAGGGTCCTTGTCAAGTGTCGGCCCAAGGAATTAGCCAATTTTGACAGGCAATGACAGCCCGCGACGGGCCCAGGACCCCGACACTAGAAGAGCCGGCCCCGCTGTGGTCTGACACGACTAGCGGTGCAGAGAACCTAGATCCTGGGATTATGGGAAATGGAACTCCCCTGCCTGCCGAATGTTCTTCGGACTGGCCACCTATTTTCTGCTGCCCAGGTGGGCGGGCGCCGACGTGGGCAGACGCTCGGTGCCATTGGGCTTTGGAGAAAGAAGGGATACTACGACGGGGTCGACGGAGACCAGGGTAATTTTAACCTTGTTCAGACGAACTATTCCGTGCGGAAACTTGACAGGTTGACCGTGATGCTTCGGGCGCCCGCATCTCGCGGTTTCAATATTGCATGGACTGCTGAAACCTGCCAGTACTAACACGACCAAACGTCCGGAAGCCTATTGGGCCTCACAAGCATCCAGCCAAAGAGACAACAGCATGCGTAGTCCCTCCGGTGTGCAGCTGCCGAAATTCAAACCTGCAGTTGGGGATCGATAGTCTCCATTTTCCGTACAACTTGCAAGGTTGGGATGCAGGCCAAGGCCGCTGATCTTTCCCTCTGTTCCCTTCCCACGGATTCGTGGGGATCGGTCCAGAGACTTCGAACTTGACCGCTGAATGGCTTTTGCATTTGCGATGCCCAGAAGCACAGGACTCAGGGCAGATCAGAATGCGAAGCGAATAGGCTTTTGTTGATCTTTGCTTGGCTTGATCAGCGTCTCAAGGGCATCGAACTGAAGCTTTGGTTAGGCGACCCGGGACACATGGGCTTGATCCATCGATTTCTAACTGAAAAGTCTATCCCCGCACAATTGAGATCTTGCACAGTCGTGACTGATAGAACCCAAGGGCCTGTAATCGCGTTGGCTGATGGATCCCCAATTACCTTCCCGCGAGTGAGATAGAGAATTTCTGCATTCTCCAACTTGTCATACTTTAGCAGAAGAGGAAAAACCAAAATCTCTTTCTAATAAACGGGTCCGTAAAGCAGACAAACCTATGGGTAATAGGTGTGTCATCCATGATTTGCCGATGTTTTACGATACATAAGCGTTCTACAGCCGGATCTTTCCCATATCAGTATCGACGATCAACTCCAAGGACCGTCTCGCTGATGCTCATACGAATCTCGAATATACAAAAGTAACTTGACATTGAGCAATCCAGATCTCAAAGGTACTTCTGTATGCAGGCTTAGACGTGATCATAGTCCGTAGAAAATAGCATCGTTGTCTTCAGTCTCTAGAGCAGTAATCTCCACATGATGATTCGCTATTATGTCTTGTCGTGCGGCTGAAAATAAAATAGAAACTCCCAGAATCATACGAGACGCCAGAAGATGTCTCACTCGTACTTGAACCAAACAGATGGCATGATTGCTACCTATTCGATTAGGTCAAGATATGTATTCAATAACCGCAAACGCAAAATGGCTGCCAGTCAAGTTCATGTTGCCTGGTGTCTACTGTTGTGGCGCCTCGAGGACCTCCGGATGCAGGCAAGTTCAACCGCCACATTCCTCTCAATCAGTATCGACTGATATTCTCGCGGGACCAGCCGAAAGCTACTGAATTTGCGCATTCCTGCGGTATTGTTTTGATGGTTTCGTTTCCGCTCTAGGAATGAGCCTACAATCTATGCCACGTGGAAAGGAAGATGTTGGAAACTTAAGAGGACGGGTCTCCTTGAGAGAAAATCAATTACACCACTAGTGTCTGTAATTCTGGTACCTATCCTGATCATAATGCGTCTTCTTGCTTTAGTATCAACTTTACTCACTGCTCTTGCAGCGGTGACCACTGGGTCATTTCTATCTCCTAGAAAAGAGATAGCATTGTGTCTCTGCGACGACGAAGCATGGGATATCACAAGACGATGGCTCAGCGTCTTCTCAACCCCTGGCGTTTCTAGCAAGGCGGAGCTAGCGACCATCGTTTCTCAAAATCTCACGAGCTACGACGACGCATTTGGGCCTCCAACTATCGGCATCGATGGACTCTGGGCTGCCCTGACAGCACCTGGCAACGCGACGAGAGCCAACGTGACGCAGACGCCTAACTTTATGCTACATACATGCGACCAGATTGCGTACAACTGGCAGTACACCGCCGTTACAACTGGTTATAACTCGTGAGTCTGACGCTTATGAGCCAAGGAGAAAACAGATGGTTAACATTGCTTCAAGAACGGTACCGGCTGGAACTCCAGTTGCGTTTACCGGAAACGATATCATCCGAATTGATCTGGCGACAAGGCTGATATCTAATGCCACTTCCGTTGGAAATTGGATTGTACTTGCTCAGCAACTGGGAGAATCATGTACGGTCTCATGAAATCCTTCTAATCTCTGTCAAATGGCCCGTATATCATCTATATTGCGAGTCTAATTTAGCTACACTCGATGCCAACTTATTTGAAGTTGCTTGAATCTTGCAAAGCAACATGGAAAGAAACTTTCATCTAATCAGACCCTGAAACAATCCTGATTATCTGAGATATATGCATGGCGTGAATGGAAACTAGGCTAAGTTCCTGGGAAGTGAAATTGTCCACTGGCAGTGAATGACCCAGTATTGCCTTGATTCACCAACACCGAGTTGCTGAGGTATGAACTAAACCAAGTATAAAGACTTAATTCATGACCACACTCATGCGGCCCTAAGAAAGGGCATCAATCATTTCTAACCCAACAAGAACAATGAGCGCACGACCACCCAATTACCCTGGCTTAGGCCACGAGAATGGTGACACTCCTCGCCGTCCTCCTCAACACCGCCAGCCTGACGATCCACCCCCTCCTGCTTATGAAGAAGTGCAGACCTCTCCTACCCAAGATGAGTATCGGCAGATCCCAATCATAGAATCGGTAACATCTGGCTTGTCAACATGGCCGGATAGTGCAGCACCATATATGGCACTTAACAAACACTGGCCGTCAAACCCGGAAAGGAAGAGAATGGACATGGTCTATAAAACCCGCTACGGCACCAAGATGTGCGAGTTCATCCTTTACTGGTACCCGCCTCCAGTCTCACGGTTTTCGGACAGTCGAAGAAGACGGGCGGAACAGAGATACCTAGAGCACTTTGAAGATCTGTGGATGGAGTCTCCGACCCCTGAAGCTTCTCCTCACTTCCTCCCAGTGCTCAGACAGCTTGACGCGGCGATTATCCACACTATGATGTCGCAAGAAATTCACTTGGAACAGTCAGATAGGCCCTGGAAGTGCCAGATCATTGACCAATTTGAAGACCCACACCCCCCAATGCATGCCATGGTATGGACCGAAGGGTGGGCTGACTATCGTCACCGAGAGGTTCTGGCGGTTGCAGTATACAATGGGTCGGACGTCCATGTCATCCGCGAGGACAGGCCTGGTCAGTGAGGCCAACACATAGTATGAGTAGGTGAGGAACAACAAGTTACTACCAGTAGTCATCCACAGTCTAAGGCAGTTCAATAGAAAGCGTAGCAGGGTAGCATGAAGTTGCAAGAAGCTCTGCTCATCTGAGCCCAAACCCCGAGGTCTCCAGCCGTATCAAGGCAGAACATGACCATGGAACGTGGATCAAAGCTGAATTGTGATGAATGGATCCGTAAGAAAATTGCTTGTATATATATAACTGATAAACCATAACGCCATATACGCTGAGTATGCTAATTGATGCAATTCTCATTACCTGGCTAGACTAGCCCATGCCCCCTAATATTAAACCCTCAACTCCCTGCATATCGCCTCAGAAGATGGGCGAGTCAGTCTCATCTACAATCTGAACCTTGATGCTACCATTTCTGTAGTCTGACGCGAGGGTAAGGGCGTCGACTGCCTTCTCGAGAGGGAAAGTGTGAGAAATGAGGCTCTTGAGGTCGAGGATGCCGCTGCTCAGGCAGGCGATGCCCGCAGGCCACGTGTCGCGGTATCTGTTGATGAACTCGAGCTTGATCTAGAGAAATCCTGTTAGTCCCCAACTCTGGTTCAAGTCTGTATGCATGTCAACCTACCTCGGCAAGAGAAATGTGCATAAATGGCAAGTTGTTCATAATCTCCCTTCCAACACCAATAACCATAACCGTACCACCACGACGAACAGTGAAAGCGGCAGTGCAGATGCTGCTCTCGACACCGGTACACTCAAGCACCGTTCTGGGCGCGCTGTACTCGTCGTCGCCAAACAGCTTGCGAATAGCCTTGCCGTTGCCCTCGTTGCCAAGCGCGGGGTCAATCTTGTACGTAATGACACTCGGGACCAGCGTCTTGGCGAAGGCGAGGCGGGAGGGCTCAATGTCGGTGATGACGAGCGGGTGAGCGCCCGAGGCCCGCGCCGCGGCGAGGGTGACAAGGCCGATGGGGCCTGCACCGCATACGACAGCGCCGACGCCGAGAGAGAGGCCTGCGGTGCGGATGCCGTGCATGCCAACGCTCAAGGGTTCGAGGAGGGCGCCTTCGGCGTAGGAGATGTTGTCGGGGAGCCTAAACAGAGTCCGGGTTTAGGTACATGTCTACATATATCCAATTGAGTTTTTCTTAGAGGGTAAGCTCGACTTACTTGTGAAGCCACTTGGCCGGGTGGCACTTGTATCGCTGGATCGTGCCATGGTATGGGTAAACGCCAGAGAACTGGACATCTTCGCAGAGGTTGTACCGTCCGTCGACGCAGAGGAAGCATTCGCCACAGGGCACGCCTGGTTCGATCGCGACGCGGTCTCCCGCCTTGAGGTTCTTGACGCCCTCGCCAACGCGGATGACGACACCTGCTGCCTCGTGGCCGATGATGCAGTCTCCCTCGAACACAAGCGTTCCGATGCGGCCCGTCTTCCAGAAGTGGATGTCAGACCTGCAGAGCGTTCCGAAAGTCAGCGTTTGCCTTCATGATCTTTCGCAAAGCAAGGCTGAGCTCTGTCAAACTGAGGCGGGTTGCGTGTTCGACGCATTTGAACGAGACTAGAAAGACTTACCCGCACACTCCGGTAGCCTTGACGTGGACCAATGCCTCTCCCGCCTTTGGTGCGAGAACGGGCGCTTCCTCTGCCTTGAGCTGGTGATCGGCTGTGACTACCAGCGAAGGGTTCGGTAGCGGCGCCCGGATGGTTTCTTGGTTGGCACTGACCGCGGTAGGCTCGTGGTGATGGTGGTGGTCGTGTTGCTTCAATTCTGTTACAACGACGACGCCATTGGACTTTGCGGGCGCAATGCCATTGACAGGCGCCTCTGGCGATATCGTGGTAGCGACCATCTTGCAGGTGGTTGGCCTCCGGGAATAAAATGCAAGGGAGATGACAGTGACTTAGAGGAACGACTGCTTTTACAAGTATATGGACAACTGCTATCAATGTCGAAACGATGTAGTTGGGATCAACACGGAAGAGAGAAACAAATGTTTAAGGACAGTCGCTGGAAGAAACGTGATGTGAAAGGGAAAACGGCTAGACATCTCAATTTGACAGGATTCGTTGAGGAAGCGCTCTTAGTCTATGACCCTCTATGCGTCCTGTCCCGTCAAACAATTATTTTTTTTTTCATCGTCGTGTGATACCCCTCTGCCGGTAACAATGTCCGAATTTCCAACAGCTCAACCTAGCTAAGGGTCTGGGCAACATGCGGGGAACCGACCGAGCGACTAAGAATGCCTCTTCTGTCGCGCCTTGGTCAAGTCATTGCCTGATTTGGATATGTTAAGCACCACCCGGCAGTTCTAGATCGTTGCGCCGGGGAACATGCCGGCTGTGTGTAGTTCGTCCAGATGACTGGCTCTGGACTACCTATGGGAAGCGGTTGGTTTTGTCACCCCGAAGCCGCCGAGTTCCGAGCCGGCATCGATGCGGGTTCGGCGACAGACAGCACGGCCAATTCAACGCAATCGCGGCAGTATCAGAGCCTAGACTTGAAGATGACGAGCAAGTGCATTCACTCTTGTTGTTGGAATGGATACTTGTCGCTCATCAGACACAGGCACAAGAAAATACGAACGAGGGCGTGATAGTTGGGCAAAATTGTTTTCATTAATTCGTAGCAGGTTCTATGACTACCAATCCCGTCAAGGTTCCTTTTATCCAGATCCATATAATACCGCAACTCTCATCTCAGACTTCGTTTATGCGAAGATGCGCAGAGGGCGCTGGGGCAGGTAGAACCCAGGGTCGTTGAAGCGGAGACCACGGTCAAGGTCAGAGATGGACTCGATCTCCTCGGCAGTCAGGTCAAAGCCGTTGACCTCGAGGTTCTGCTTCAGACGGTGCTGGCTGTTGCTCTTGGGAATGACAGCGACGCCGCGCTGGGTAGCCCAGCGCAGCAGGACCTGCGCGGGGGTGACCTTGTACTTGTCCGCGATCGCCTTAATGGCATCGACCTCAAAGAGGCCCTGAGCGCCGGTGGCGCGCTTGTTGGAGATCTCGAGGAAGGACTGGGGGCCAAAGGAGGAGTAGGCCGTGACGGCGATCTTGTTCTCCTGGGCCATGGAGATGAGGTCGGGCTGGACGAGGTACGGGTGGTGCTCGATCTGCAGGGCGGAGATGGGATGGCGGGCGTAGGACTGGATGTCGTAGAGGGACTGGGCCTGGAAGTTGGAGACGCCGATGGACTTTGCGATGCCTTCGTCTGCGATCTGCTCCATGCACTCCCAGGTCTCGCGGATGGGGACGTTGTCGGGCTCGACGATGGTCTGCGCGGCGTCCATCCACCAGCACTTGGGGTCTCCAAGTCAGCAAATCTTTGGTTAAAATGATGATGGCATTCATGAACTTACGGGGTACTCGAGCTTGGAGGGCTCAATGTACTTGAGGGCAACAGGGAAGTGAATGAGGAACAGGTCAATGTAGCCCAGGCCCCAGGTCTCGTTCTGCTTCTTTGCCATGGCGACGGCATGCTCCTTGCGGTGGTAGTTGTTCCACAGCTTGGTGGTGATGAAGATGTCCTCACGCTTCACCAGACCGTCGGCGATGGCGCGGCGAACACCCTCGCCGGCCTCCTTCTCATTCTGATAGTCGTAGGCGCCATCGAAGAGGCGGTAACCGGTCTTGATAGCCTAATTGATTACAGTCACGGATTAGAAAACATGTTCACTTGTGCGTAGAGCTGAGCGCTTGGATGAAACTCACGTTGTAGACGGTATCGGCGCAGGTCTCGCGGGGAACCTTCCACAGACCGAAGCCCACGAGGGGCATCTCACGGCCGGAAGCGAGAGTGATGGTGTCCTTGCCCATTATGAAGATTTTGAAAAGGGGGTATAGATACTAGAGTGACAGGAAGAGAAGTTGCGTGATGTATGAGATGAGGTTGCTCTAGAATGACGAGCTTTGAGTTCTAATATTCTCTGTGACAAGATTCTACTTTTTTTTCTTGCGTTTGACCCCGCCCTCAGTCAAAAAGCGCACACAACCCCGCCTCCGTCAGTAGAGCACCCATCCCTCCGGCTGTTCTTCTGAGCATCATCATGGAGGGGTTGAGACTGAGAGGCAAGGTGGTAGAGCCTACCGGATTTGGCAATCCTAAGCACTGATGAATCAGAAATCAGAAAAGGGCATGTATCCCCGCGCTTAGCGTCCCCCGGTTTGACTCGTGTTCGACTGGGTTCCACGAGGGGTTAGCAGCCCGCTTCAAGGAGATGAGCTTCTCTGCCGTCCACCTCATAGTTGAATGGGGATTGTGAGCTGAGTGTCTAGTGGTTATTAGTATACAGACTCAAGAGAAGTATACACGGATCGTATCGGAAGATGTCGGCCAGAGTAAATCTCAGATTTAAGACTCGTCGCGTATTTACCGCAGACTTACTGAACGTCGTCTCACTCGCCAAAGCATGAGAATCATCCCATCAGTGATCAAACCCCACGGGTAATATCCACAAACAGCATTGTCCCTGCAAACGCTTATCCCGAACCGCACTCGCGTCAACTGAGCCCCGACTTGTCGCTGTAAACCCGCCCTTCCCCTGTTCCACACACACCAATTTTCTCCAGAGACTCCAGCAAAGCTCTTTCTTCCCCATCCATAGCCCCAGAGTTCCTGGAGTCGAGCCCGTACCTCGGGAAACCCTCCACTATTTGTTGGGGACCTTTTCCGCCTTCCCAATCCGACAAGATTATCCCCTCCAGCCGCCGTTGTCCGTTCTTCAGCCATGGGCACACAACAAGCACCCCAAACATAGCAGCCGGTTGCGATAATGACGGATGATACGGATTCAGTATCAGCAAGCGGCTCTGGAGCAGGAGCAGGAGCAGGAGGTTCGAAACAGAGGCACAAGAGGACGCGGACGGGGTGTATGAAATGTCGGGTCCGACGCCGCAAATGTAAGCCTCTCTCACTTTCTCCATGTCTCTTTTCGTAATGCTCGTAAATGTTGTTCAAGACCCACTGAGATGTTATCTCACCGAGCAGAGCTGGCATGACGTCGCATGACACTGCAGCTTAGCTATGTTTACTCGGTGACGCTTCATCAAGTTACTGTTGACACTCTTTATTGACCAAATGTAGGCGATGAAGGAAAGCCGCGATGTCAGCGCTGCATCGACGGAAACTTTGAGTGCCACTACGGCCCCAGACTGACATTCTTGAATAAGAATGCATTGACGGTGTCACCTTCGCCCAAGGTGCCCGATGCGACAACGCCAAAATACTCACGCCTTCAGGTCCGTAAACTACTAGGAACCATCACCCGGCTTAGTGTTTCTCGACTTACACATAGATCTAGTTCGTAGGTGCCGGGTCGTCCAAACAAGCCGCCAAAGATCCGTCATTACATGCATCGTCTCCGCCGCGCGAGCAACATGGAGTCAACGGGAATGTCGCAAACGATCTGAACAGCAACCAGTCATCTCTACCGCCACCGCCGCCTTCGCAAACACCAACGCAAACGGTGATAACCTTCCACGCAGATACCCAACCCCCAGAACCATCGCCAGCGGCGACGACTAAACCATCTCCTCTCGAGCCGAGCCTCGCGACGCTGAATCACAGCCGCCAGCACCCACCGCTCGAGCAATGGCGGCCACCTCAGAGTCTGGGTAGCCTCGGGAGTCATGAGAGCCTCTCATCACCGGTGCGAAATCTTGATATCACGGGGAAGCTGACGGGGCCATCACCAAATAATGACGCTGCCTACGAGACGGCCTTGAATGTCTTGCTGTCGCTCGGAAACGAAGGGCCAGCGGGGCTAGGTCAGTCGCCTGATCATGGCTCCGGGTCCTATGCGGTTGTTGGTGGTGATAGTATCGGTGTGGTGAGCCCCGGAGAGATGATGTCGCTGTCGCCGAACTCAACGAGGGAGAGGAGAGGGTCTGGCGTGTCTGCTGCTGGCGGCATTTCGCAAGATCGCCTGCTGCAGCTGTTGCGTCACTTTAGGTATCAGCTCGCGCCATGGGTGAGTCCAACACCAAGCCTTGTATGTATGAGGGTTTGGTCGTTGAATTGCTAATAATGATTGTTCCGCAGCTTGACTTGTGTGATATGGGACAAACCTTTGGTCTCTACGTTTCTCGCCTCGCCATCGAATCCGAATCGGTGCTTCACTCACTTCTTGCCGTTGCCGCAACGGCACAGCAGGCCGATCTGCGCATCGTATCCGGCGACGTCGGGTACCTCAAGTCTCTGGCTGAGGCGAAAGCTTTTCAGCTCAGCGGACCGGTCATCAACGACACCGATCTGGTCCACTTGACTCTATCTACGGCATGCCAATTCATCTCCGATATCCCCAGCAGCTGGAATAGCCTGTCAGGTAGCATAGATCAGAACTTTTGGAATGTGGCACTGGCGGAAGCAACTCCAAAGACCGTTTCGATATTATCAGTCTTGGTTCGACTAGGTATACTCGCCGTTCCAACATCCCTTTCATGATGTATGAGCCACACCACAGCTAGTCAAAGGCTAATAAAGAGTAGAACTTGCAGCCGCACTCGTAACCGGGGCTCCCATCTCGATCCCCGAACATCTATCCTACAACCCGATCCCACAACAGTGGAACTCCTCCACCATCGCGGAGACAATTTTTCAATACACCATCGAACCCCTCCTCCTCTGCGCAAAAGTAATCAACTTCTGCTCAGGCAGCTTCCCACCACAAACCCCAGCCGATCTCGACCTCGGCGGCGGCGTCCCGCTCACGCCCGTCCACCGCTGGACGATGCTCAGCGACGCCCTCGGGTCCTGGTACACCAACCGGGCGCAGGAATTTCGCCCCATGGTGGAGATGGATGGCGGCGACGAGACGCTGTTCCCCGTCGTCCTCTTCACCAACGGGGCCGCGGTCTTTGCGAATCAACTATATCATACGGCCATGTTGCTGCTGCTTCAGAACAAACCACGGACGTTGCAGGCGGCGACGGCGGCGGGTAAGAAGTCGTCGTCTTCGTCCATGTCGCCGCTTTGGCATGCTCAGCGCGTCTGTGGGATCGCGCTGAATAATGACCGGAGAGATAGTTGGGATCTTTGCTTGGTCGCGTCATTATATCTGGCGGCGCAGCGGATGACGTACGAGCCTCAGCAAAAGGCGATTTTGGGGTGCTTTGATCGTATTAAATCCATAACTGGATGGAACGTCGACGGTTTCTCAACGAAAGTTCGAGAGGATTGGGGTTTGATGTAGATAATCACACTTTGTGAACGCGGGCGCACCGCGTCGCCTTCTAGCCAAGGTGATCATTACCACACAAGCAGTTGAAGTAATCATCATGATAATGAAAATGATATCACCTAGCCATGTCCGCGATCCTGAGTTCTTTGCGGACCTTGTAGCCCCAAGCGGCCTCCAGATCGTCGATTCTCCAACACGTGCCCCATCCCGTCACAGCCTCGATGCTGCGGATAAGCTTCACGAGAAGAGCGTGCTCCGACTTGTGACTGAGAAGTCGACCCGCGACCCAAAGGGGCTGGATGGCGTTATTCAAGCAGCCCTGGTGCGGATTCGCGAGCGATATACCGCAGATGCATTTCGCATGCCATATGGCGGAGCCAGTGACGCCACTCAATTTGAGGTTACGCGGCCGTGGCATGGACCCGAGCAAAAGCGTACAGGCCGTGTGATAAAGCTGATTCGAAGAGATGGCCGCCCAGTGCAGGAACAGAATCTGAGGGAACGGGCTGCTCTGGATGCTCTGGACTGGCAGCAGCTCTGGCGGGCGGTCGCGCGTCCAGGCTTGGAGGTCTTCCCAAAGGCGGACCCAACGTTCGGTGAGCTCATCAGGGCTGCTGCAGCCGCTTGCGTCGCCAAGTTCAAAGTAGCGCGTCCTGTCGGCGACGAGCTCGCAGACTTTGGCGCAGAGGTAGACGGCGTAGTTGGCGTGCATGTCGGGAGTTCCGGACTGGTGGAAGAGCTCACTTGCTTCGTTGTGCGAGGCGCCGTCGGGGAGCCATTTTGAGGGGGTGAGAAGGGTGCTTTCTGTTCCATCAGAAATGAGGGCACCGCAAAGATCTGGTGACTGTGTTAGCGAGAAGATTCATTTGTAGAAGTAAGAAGTTAAGGGGTTGGAACACACCCATTCGTGCGTAGCACCAGAAAACAGCTTGAAGTAGTCCGCCGCTGAAACCGTGAACGTAGAATGATTCAAAAAGCGCGGCACACCCCTCGAGGTGTTTTCTCCAGTCCTGGGCACTGGCAGACATCATCTCGAGACAGCATAGAATCGTGCAGATGGGAATGATCTTTTGATCTCGTGATTGCAGTAATGGCGTTAGTAGGCGGATAGCTTCCTGGTACAGCTCGAGGCTGTCGAACGATGTTTGTTTCCCCTCCTTTCGCTCCATCTGTCGCGCCGAGAGGGCGAGGACGGCGTAGAGGAGTGCAGGGGAGCTTCGGGCAAGGACAGGAACTTGTATGCCAAAAGCCCTGTCGCTGTCGAACATGTCGAGCTATTGTGAAGAATGAGCATAGGCAACGGTGTAATGAAGGAGTTAAATGTGACGCAAACTCACCCATGTCGCGACTTCTCCGACGTAGTTCTTCAAGTACTCCAACCTCCGACCTGTCCCCAGAATCTGGCCGGCCTGCCGTCGCGCGGCTCCCTCGTCGCCCAAGATGGTACCCGGCGCCGCGAAGCCCCCTGCAGAAAAGCCGCCATCAGCTGCCTCCGGCGTCCCCTCTCGCGTAGGAGCTGCCGTTTGCGCCGTGTTGAAGATGAGGCATCTCAGCTCCTCTTGGTAGGCGAGATAGCCGGGGTCGGTGACGAACTCATCCAGCCTCCACGACTCGGCCGGCGACGTTGATGCTTCGGATGAGAGATGGTGTGAGGGTGTTGGCTCGCCGAGGCCCCATGTTGACGAGGCAGCTGGTGTCACGGCTGATACGAAGTGTGAAAATGCTTGGGATTGGGAGTGAGATTGTGCATGAGAACGCGAGCGAGAGTGAGAGTGAGACTGAGGTTGTGACTGAGACTGAGAGCCTGTGTTCTCTACCCGGTCGAAGGGTGTCGCGGTTGATTCGTCATCCTTAGCCATGGGCGAGAGCATTGTGAGAAACGTAGTTGATGGCGTTGATGCAACTGCTCACCGGCTAAAATCAGTCTTGAACACATGGAAGTGAAGCCCAACCCAAGTATTGTGAAATCGGCCAAAGCCCACCTCATGGATCGGAAGGTTTCGGTAGGTCATGCGGGAGGAGAAAAAGGACTGGATCTCCTCTTCACCTGTGACCTGCTCTGGGCTCTCTCCTGCGTTGCTCCCATCGAAAATTGCCCGACTAGCGGATTTCGGATGTTGCTGGCGTCCAATGGCTAAGTGCGCCGAACCCTGGGGGGGAGATGGGCGCATTGATTGCTGCGGGGAACCCAAGTTAGCGGAACTTGCGGGGAAGTCGACCGCTGATGATTGGCCTTTGGGGGGTTTAGAAAGGGGGTGTTTACTCCCTATGGTGCGTTCAAGTCTTCAGGGACGGACCTAGACCGACATGTCGGTGAGAGGGGGTCACCGAGAGGTTGTTCAGGTGAGTGTCGGTGAGAGACAATGAGAAGAAGAGCGTATCTTTCGCAACATCGCCAGATCGTGCAACTAACACGTGACGTTAAGAATCTTATGGGGTTTCGATACTTGCGATGGATCGACTTGATCGGGCTTCATGTTCTACAATATCCAGATGTGATTCCTTGGCACTGCGTTATGAACGTCTGGAGCTCACATAGTGAGAGAACACCAATAGGTTTTTCGTAACCCTGGCCAGAACTTATTTCTGATAGCTTAAATTTGGCACTCAACGGTTTCGTATATGAGAGTGTGTTTCTAGAAGTGAGAGTCTGTACTGGCATCGGCCGATGTGTTTTCGTCTTCGGCCTCAACTTTTCCGGCACGGCGGGGCCAGGACCTCGGGGTTTCGGTGCTGATGTCACCGGCCGCGGGGTTCGACGAATTCTTGAGTCCAAAGGGGAAGCCGAAGCCACGAGCCGATCCCCGGGGGCCGTGGATCATGTTTAACATCGTTTACCCCCCCTTGGCGGGACCCTGCAGGAGAGGCCGTTGGTGTAAAGCCCGGAGAGCAATTCTGGCTGATTTAAACCTTGTGTGTCCCTAAAAATCGAGTACATACACTTGCACCCTTTGCCCAGAATGTGAAGATGGCTCAACTCAAGATCACGTCTTTGCGCTTCGAGCACCATCCCACTGGACTTGGTGTCTCTTCTCCTACCCCTCGCGTCTCATGGCGCGTCGAGTCCGACCCTATAGCAAAGAATTGGCAGCAGACATCGTACGATATCAAAATCTCACGTGGCTCTGCGCCAGCCCGGGAATTCCACATCGAGGGCGCTTCGACAGTACTCGTTCCGTGGCCCGACACTCCTTTGGCAACAGGCGAAAGGGCGATAGTCGTCGTCAAGTCTTACGGGACCTCAGACAATGCCCGATTGGACTCTGGATGGTCCTCGGAGGCGACAGTAGAGACCGCTCTGCTCTCCCTCGATGACTGGAAAGCTACGCCCATCACCACGCCCCCGCGTACCGCTCCACACCCAGATGAGCGGGGAATCCGGCCGGTCCGATTCCGTAAAGTATTTGACTCCCCCGATGTGAAAGGCGGCGGTATTACCAGACTCTACATCACAGCGCTAGGCTTATACGAAGCGTACCTCAACGGCCACCGCATCGGAAACGAGTGGCTCGCCCCCGGATGGACTGCTTACCAACATCGCATTCAATACCAGGTCTTCGATGTAGCGCATCTCCTAAAGCCTGGACAACGGAACGTTCTCACAGTGGAAGTCAGCGAAGGGTGGTATGCGGGCCGAATTCTTTGGGGCGAGGGCTTAACCTGCTTCTACGGCGACCGCATCGGTGTACTAGCTCAGCTCGAGATCCGCGACGACGATAGAGCAGGACCAGCTTTGAAGCTTGTGACCGACGATTCATGGGAGTGCAGGTCCTCACCAATCGTCGGAAGCGACATCTACGACGGTGAGACGTACGATCTCGGTCTCGAAGTAAACGACTGGCATCACGACGACCACAGCGAATGGACCCCCGTCGAGACGCTACCGTTTCCGAAATCCACACTCATAGCAGCATCCTCTCCACCAGTCCGTACGACGGAGACCGTTAAACCCATCAAAGTCTTCAAAGACATCAACGGCAAGACGCTCGTCGATTTTGGTCAGAATCTCGTCGGCAAACTCGTTATCCCAAAGCTCGCAAAGCCAGACGGCCACCGCATCACCATCCGCCACGCGGAGGTCCTTGAAAATAGTCAACTCGGAACGCGACCCCTCCGAGCGGCAAAGGTAACAGATACGATTATCTTCGGCGGCGGCCGAGTCCTAGAGAACTGGTCCCCTCACTTCACCTACCACGGCTTCCGCTACGTCGAGCTGGACGGCTGGGACGATGTGACGCTAGACTCACTGTCCGCCGTCGTCATGCACACAGATATGCAGCGGACAGGCTTCTTCTCCTGCTCCAACGACGACGTCAACACGCTCCACCACAACGTCGTCTGGAGCATGCGCGGGAACTTCGTCTCTATTCCCACAGATTGTCCGCAGCGCGATGAGCGCCTGGGCTGGACGGGCGACATCCAAATCTTCAGCCCGACGGCCTCGTTCCTGTACGATTGTGCGGGCATGCTGAGCAACTGGATGCGAGACGTGCTCCTAGATCAGAAGGACGCCGGTGGTATTGTCCCGCTCGTGGTCCCCAATGTTATGAAGGACGGGCCCTGGCCTTCTGTGCCGCAGGCAGTGTGGGATGATGTTGTTGTACTGGTGCCTTGGACTTTGTATAAGTGGTTTGGTGACGCGGGCGTCTTGCAAGAGACATATCCGGGTATGAGAGACTACCTCAAGTCCATCAAGCGCGGGGACGACGGTTTATGGGATTCTTCGCTTTGGCAGTTGGGCGACTGGCTTGATCCCAATGCGCCGCCCGCCGAGCCAGGTCTAGCTAGAACGGACGGCACCCTCGTCGCGGACGCGTATCTGGTTCACGTCACCGGCATCGTCTCCCAGATCGCCAGCATCATCAATCTTCCATCTGAGGCTGAGGAACTCGCTATTGAACACAAACGGCTCAAGCAGCTCTTTCAGGACAAGTACATCACCAGAGCAGGCTTTATCGTCGCGGATTCCCAGACGGCGCTGGCTCTGGCCCTACTCTTTGACTTACACGACACCACCGCCCAACGCGAAGCCGCAGCCGCAAGACTCGCGCGGTCGGTGCAGTATTCTAAGTTCAGAGTGTCCACCGGCTTCGCTGGCACGCCCGTAATCCTTCACGCGCTGTCAGAGACAGGATACGTCCAGCACGCATACCGTATGCTTCTAGAGACGGGGTGTCCCTCGTGGCTATACCCCATCCGCATGGGTGCCACCACAGTCTGGGAGAGATGGGATAGCATGCTAGAAGACGGGACAATCAATCCGGGCGAGATGACGAGCTTCAACCATTACGCTCTCGGCAGCGTCGCGAACTGGATGCACGCCGGTATTGGGGGGCTGTCGCCGCTCGAGGCCGGGTGGAAGAGGTTCCTGGTTCGGCCTCGGCCCGGAGGGGACCTGCGGCATGCCAGCGTCGAGTACCTGAGCCCGCACGGCTTGGTTCGGAGTCGATGGGAGCTTGTGACAGATGAGAATTTTATTTTAGAGCTGACGGTGCCGCTGAATACATCTGCCGTAGTTTCTTTGCCGGATGGCGGGGAGGAGAGGACGGTTGGGTCTGGGAGTCATGTATTTGAGAGCGGTCTGGCTCCGGGACTGAGGGAGGCGTGGCCTCCCAAAGCTCAGTTGACGCAGTTTGGACTGTGATGTCGTTTGAGTGGACAAGGTTGACTTTGATGTGCCTCTAATAGAGCTCTTGATCGATTTGTAATTTGCAACACAACTTTCGGCATGATTGAATATCGGGATTGCGACACTGTAAGACGGGCTGCTAGTTAGCCCGCGTATTACTTGAATACTTCGTGAGTAAACGCATTTCACAGTAACCATCATTACAATACAAATCTGTTGCCACGTAAACTTAACCTTTGGTTGTTTTTTTTTAGTAATAACTGCCATGGCTTCTATAAGCGTCAGCTGTCTTTCCACTGCATTCTTGTACCATTGCCATACCCAAGGTTGCGAAAATCTCTCGAAGCTCGTCTTATGAGTGTTTGCTCAGGTGGACTGCCGTTTTGTTGCTGTAGAAACCTTGACTTGGAGCTGTGACTACCGTATAATGCACCCATCCAAAGGGACTTTGGGGACTTTGAGGAGGGGACTTTTGCGACGGACCCCTGCTATCTCTGACTCTGACCGTCTGACGGATCTCCGTGCTGTAGAATTGCATCATTGCGGCCGCTGGTGACCTTCCCAGCTCGGTTACTCGCTAACCACTTGCTCATCTTTCTGATAAACTAAAGCTTACCCTCCTCCTCCTCTTCTCATATACCATTGAGGATTGCTCTCTCCTCGAGTTCCTTCCATCGACATTGCCCATTTGTGAAGCTGCCCATCATGCGCTACTCCCTCTCAGCCAAACTGCTCCTCCTGCTGGGCTCTTCTCAGCTCGTGCTCAGCTCCCCCGACGACCAGCGCGTCCTCGCTCCCGCTACTGAATCGACGATAAACGATGTTGCCGCGACCTTAGGCTGGGATAAGGCCCCCATGTTCACGATCGAGAACAAAGACGTAATTTTCGCGGCGCTCAAGAGATACGCTGACCCCGTCGACGCCCTCGTTTCTCTTCAGCCCGATATGGCGGACACGCTTGCCGAGCCGAGACTCATCCATGTTCATGGCGAGAAAATGGCAGAATGGATGACCGAGGGCGATAAGCTTCGTCTTCGGCGCAAGGGACGCAAGTTCCGCGACATCACTGATTTCCAGGAGCTTTACGCCGACCACGTCAACACCTTTGCAGGCAAAGCCAGTGAGTCCAATTCATAATACTCGTCGAGATTGCTCCTCGTACAATACGGACAGCTGACGCCGTCGCAACCGCAGACCTTCCCAAGATCACACACCAAAGCCTCATCAAGCCCCTCTTCCCCAAAGTCAACCAGACAAACATGCACAATGTCCTCAAGCACATGACGAGCTACTACAACAGATATTACGGCGGCGTCACCGGCGAGGAGAGTTCCGTCTGGCTGCACGACCACGTCGCCTCGATCATTGCCCAGTCGCCCTTCCACGCCCACATCTCGCTCGAGTACTTCACCCACGAGTTCCCCCAATCCTCCATCATCGCCCGCTTCGAGCCCAAGGTCCGCGACTTCTCCAAGCCCCTAACCATCATCGGCGCCCACCAAGACTCGGCAAACTACCTCTTCCCTCTGCTTCCCGCCCCCGGCGCAGACGACGACTGCTCCGGTACCGTAAGCATTCTCGAGGCCTTCCGCGTTCTCGCGACGAGCGGCTATGTGCCCAAGGAGGGACCCGTCGAGTTCCACTGGTACGCGGCCGAGGAGGGCGGGTTGCTGGGTAGCCAGGCCGTTGCAGCCTACAAGAAGAAGGAGGGTGCCAACATTGGCGCCATGATGGAGTTCGACATGACAGCTTTTATCGCGCGTAACGCTACCGAGTCCATTGGCTTCATTAAGACGGACGCGGACGCACCGTTGACCAAGTGGGCGGTGGACCTGAGCGAGGAGTACATCAACATCACGACGAGCGTCTACGAGCTCATGCCTGGCGCCGGGTCGGATTACATGTCATACACCAAGCTCGGGTTCCCTGCTACGTTTGCATCCGAGGGAAACCCCGTCGCGGGTGGATTCCCTGGCGAGTTCGACCCGTATGTGCACACGGAAAAGGATACCATGGATGTCGATGATGAGACGGGGGTGTTTTCTATTGACCACATGGCGAGGTTCTCTGAGCTGGCCATTGCCTTTGCTATTGAGCAGGCTGGGTGGGATAACAAGTGGAGGTAAACGGTGGTCGTCACGGGGACCATAAATTGATGATAGCCACGTTCTGGTGATGGTATCGTTTTGATGA